ACTTTTGAATTCCTTAGAGCTCGTATTCCCGAACTGCCCTTCACTTTTGTGTCTTTGGCACATTGTTAAGGTCGTCGAGACTCATGCACGGCAACACAGATTCCCTCGAGTCCTCAACACAGAAAAATCAACAGATCGCACACCGAAGTGGAAGGACTCGGAGCAACACCGGGAATTCTGTGATGCATTTTTGGATCTTGTACGTGCTCGTACCGAACCGGAATACAAGGACCGTCGAGCGTATTTACATCGGCTGTCTCACGAGGAACCTACTTACATCGACACGGTTTGGCTCGACATTTGGAAGCGGCGAATAGTTAGATGCTGGACCAATGATGTCGTACACTTTGGACTTCAAGAAACCTCACGCGGATACCATGCAAGCCTGAAGAAATGGCTCGGAAGCTCGCGTTCGGATATTCTCACCATGTTGAACTTGATGCGTCACTGGTGGAACCAGTCCATCCACCAGCATAAGGCCATAATTTCGGATTCTCAAATAAAAATGCAGAACCGACTACGCCGGAAGCTGTTTGCTGGTGTCGTTCGTAAAATTCATGTGCATGCGCTGAAGTGCTGTTTGTCTCAACTTCAAACGATTAGCCGATGCCTGTGCAGTGGAGTCTACTCAAAAACTACTGGGTTGCCGTGCTTTCATAAGCTACTGGAAATCGAAGAGGCAAATGGAACGCTAACACCGCAGGATTTCCACGCTCATTGGTGGATTACTTATCAAGATGCCACACGAGCTCCGGCCCCAATTATTCTTGAACCGGAGACTATTGCCTCGAGAAGACAGGAGAGACGACGAAGTAAAAAGGCGCGGAAGCAGAGAGCTGGAGTAAATGGAACAAGGCGAGATCCAAATCGCTTTGAGTTATCACAGACAACTAATGTGGTATTACCTACGATGGCGGCGGCTTTACAGACGGCTTCCACCCCAAAACACCGACTTCCGCAAATGCGGTTTAACGCTATTAACTTAGAGATTGATGCAGACGTCATAGATATTCCAAACATAAATACATCTAAAAAAAAACACTACAAATTGTCTTTTTAAAGCACATTTTAATATATAGTATTGCTGTCTTCAATCAGCTAATATTCTGGAAAATGGACCCAGTACTTCTCTACCTGTACTCTCCCCAGCACGTCGCCAAACGCACAAGTCTTGATAGCGCTTAGTGTACGAGTAATTATTTCTCTACGACGGTGTATCGATTGACAATTCATTTGGTGTAATACCTTGGCAACGGACTTGACGAAGTTCTCTCTAAACGTTTTGTACCAAAATTACA